CCAGCTTGGGAAAGTTCTCCTTTATTATTTGTTTAAATAAGTTTTCCACTTGTGGCTATTCCTCTTCCCCTTCTGGTACCCCTATAATTCGGATGTTGGAGCGTTTAAAGATGTCCTGGAGGTTCCTAAGCCTCTCCTCATTTTTTTGAATTCTTGTTTCTTCATATTTTTCTGTTTGGTCAATTTTTTCTTCCTTCTGGTCCACTCCCTTGATTTGAGTCCCAGTTTCTCTTCCATCACTATTGGTTTCCTGTGTATTTCCCTTCATTTCAATTAGTTTAGCCTTCATATGTTCCTCTAATTTGTGACTAAAATCAACCAGTTCTGTGAGCATCCTGATCACCAGTGTTTTGAACTGTGAATCTGAAAGTTTGGCTATTTCTTGGTTGCTTAGAATTATGCGCTCTGGGGCTTTGAGTTCTTCTTGAGCCATGTTTTGGTCTGTTTGCACCTGTTATGTATGAGGAGTGAAGCCTTAGGTGTTCACCAGGGCAGAGCAACTCAGTCACTGGGTTGTAACGCTGTATGTGGGGGCGGGGGCAGAGCAGGGCAATAGCGGTCTCCTCTGCTGCTTCCCAATGCTGGGTCCTGCACGGTCTGTCCTACTGCTCGCTCCTTTGCTGGTTTATCTGCCTGCGAATGTGTGACCGTGGTCAGCCTGCTGGTCAGCCTGCTGTCTTGCGCCCTCAGTGGGTCTGCCCGTTGCTACTCCACACCTGGGATATGCCCACAGCTGCCTGCATGCCTGGGTTGCGTGCCCAGGTCAGTCTGGTGGATCTTTCCTGCCCGATCCCACTTCACTGCTGGCTCTGCCCCTCTTACCGGTTTGGCTGAAGGGTTCGTTGTTGTCGGACTTTCATATAGTTCAATTTTCTGTGTTTTGGCTGCGTTTTTATTACTAAAACTTTGTTGTCTTTAAACTTGATTGTGAGAGAAGACACAGTGTTTCCACCTATACCTCCATCTTGGCAGAAGTCAAGAAATAAAATCTTAAAAAAAAAAAGAAAGAAATCCCTCTTGTATAGTCAAGAATTGGACTAGGTAATCCAATCTTCTAGGTCCAAAACTGTACTTTCAAATTTCTATGTGACTTTGGGCAAATTACTTAACCTCTATAGGCTCCAGTTTCCTCATTTATCAAATGAAGATAATACCCACTTTCACATAGGTGTATTATGAGGATTACATTAGTTAATTCACAAAAAGCATTTAGAATAGGATCTGGCATGTGGTGAGCAGTCCATAAATGTGGACTCCCACCTGCTGCTGCAGTAACTCAAGCCAACTTCTCTCTTCTTTCTCTCTCTCTCTGCAGATTTTAGGCTCATAATTTTATGCCTAAGATTAAAATTGTCCTCTTCCTCACTAGATCTATCAACTGCATTGTTTTGAAAACCTCCAAGTACTCTTTCCTTTTCTCAGTATTGGGCCATTTTACTCTCTTTCTCTCTCTGAACATCTTTTTTATTGGTTCTTCATAGGAAGCAGTAAGTCTTCCATTTACACATTGAAAGGCTTTTCTGTGATAACTAGAGTATGAGTTCCTTGAGAGCAAGGACTGTGTCTTAATTATCTCTATTACTCCAGCTCTTTTCCTCACCCTGCTGCAAATCTATGCTAGAGAAAGTTTTGTTTAACAAATGAATTCATTTACTTAGCCATCGTAATTTTTGCTCACGTTATGGTAGATACTCTATTTTGAACTTCCCGTTTTCCTGAAAATTTCCTTGCCCTTTACCTCTGGAAATTTTAACTTCATCTGGTGATACTGAGATTCCATTCTGGATCATCAGGCAGGTAGGGGGTTCAGTTTACCACATACTCCATTCATATATTAGACAAAAAAAATCCCACTTAATTCACCTAGATTTATTTATTTATTTATTTATTTTTAGATTTTTATTTATGTATTTATCTTTAGAGGGGAAGGGAAGGAGAGAGGGAGAGAAACATCAATGTATGGTTGCCTTTCGTGCATCCCCCGCTGGGAACTGGCCTGCAGGGAACCAGTTTGCAACCCAGGAATATGCCCTGACTGGGAATCGAACCTTGATCCTCTGGTTCACAGGCCTGTGCTCAATCCACTGAGCTACACCAGCCAGGGCAATTCACCTAGATTTAATTGTACTTACATTCTCTTGATTCCAGATAGACTAATTATTCTCTTTAAAATCTGTTAGTAGCTTTGAGAGGGGTTCTATTTTGCAGGACTGTTTTTGAAGATAGGGCCATACCACCCTCAGTTGCTTTATACGCAGAATAAAAATCAGGCTCTCTCACTTGAAGGAAGTGAGGATGAATTTTATCCATCTTTTTTTAAAAGATTTTATTTATTTATTTTTAGAGAGAGGGGGAGAAAGAGAAAGAGAGAAACTTTGATATACGAGATATATCAATTGGTTGCCACTTGCACGCCTCCAGCTGGGGACCTGGTCTGCAACCCAGGCAGGTACCCTGACTGGGAATGGAACTGGTGAGCTTTCAGTTTGCAGGCCAGCACTCAATCTGATGAACCACACCAGCCAGGATGAATTTTATCAATCTTTTAAACGTTTTCTTTCTTTCCTTATTTTTTTAAATCCTCACCTGAGGACATGCTTGTTGATTTTGAAGAGAGAGAGAGGAAGGGAGGGAGAGAGAGGGGGAGAGAAATATCGATGTGAGAGGGAAGCATGGATTGGTGGCCTTGTACACGCACCTTGAATGGGACTGGACCTACAACCCTTCAGTTTATGGGATGACCCTCCAACTAACTGAGCCACACAGGCCAGAGCAAAAAGTTTTCTTTTTAATGTATACAAAAAATATACATAACACATGACATTTAATAATATAACGAAATACCCAACTTAAGGGCAAGGGCATTTCCTAGTAACTTGTGGGTACTTTTCTGTTTCTCCTTTATCTCTTCCTCCTGCTCTCAGAAGTAACCCTACATTTTGTGATTATCATTCCATTGATGTTTTCCTTATAATTTAGGTTTGTGACAAATGTACATATGCTAAAACAATATGTTGCTTAATATGTGTTTTTTTAAAGAGTAACTGATTTTTTAAATTGTTTTTAGAGAAAGGGAAAGGGAGGGAGAAAGAGAAGGAGAGAAACGTTAATGTGTGAGAGTCACATGGATCAATTGGTTGCCTCTCTCACATCCCCAACTGGGGACATGGCCCACAACCCAGGCATATCCCTGACTGGGAATTGAACTGGTGACCTCTTGGTTTGCAGGCCAGCACTCAATCCACAGAGCCATACCAGCCAGGGCTGCATTAAAAATTCTTTTTTAAAAATATTTTTTAAATTTATTTTTAGAGAGGGGAAGGGAAGGAAAAAGAGAGAGAGAGAAACATCAATGTGTTGTTGCCTCTTACACACCCCAAACGCGGGACCTGGCCCGTAACCAAGGCATGTGCCCTGACCGGGAATCGAACCAGCGACCATTTGGCTCACAGGCCTGTGCTCAATCCACTGAGCCACACCAGCCTGGGCTGCATTAAAACTCTTATGCAAGCCTCCTGGTCACACATGCAAGTGTTTCTCTTGGTCATATACTGGGAGTAGGATTGCTGGTTTGTGGAGTATGAGCATATTCAACTTTGTGAGATAATTAATGCCAGATATTTTCCCACTCTTCCACAGTTTATAAGAATTCTACTTACTCCTCAATTATTTGTTACTTTTACATTTAATTTTTGCCAGTCTAGTGGGAATAAAATGTTAGATACCTATTTTTTTTTGGTGGGGGGAGACTGGAAGAGTTATCTTTACCTAAAGCTTTTAAAACTTTTTCTTTTTCTATTAAGAGTTTGCTGCCTGATTTGACATTACTGTGCTAGGGATTCTGTTAAGAGGAAATTGTTTATTTGTGTGGTAGTTTGTGCTAAGGGTATAAAAGCTGATGGGTTGGTTACTCAGTAGAGACTGCTAACTGGGTTGTTTGAAAGTTGCTTTTAAGTTGATCTTATATAAATACCAAATTATACACAGTTAAAAATTTCTTTTTAATACTCCAGAGAAATGGAAATGTGTTAAATTATATTATTTGCTATTGGCCCATTAAAAATTAATCTTGTCTTGAGTTTATACCTGTCTGTAAAACTAGTTTCAATAAAAGTCTCCTTCAGTTTGTTGATCAGGAGTATTTTCACCAAATCAAGTTTAGTAAAGCTATCTTTATATATTTTCTTGTATTTTAATTGTATCAAAGAGATTCAACTTAACCTCTCTTGACACGATTATATGAGCCAACTAATAGACAAATTAGTCTCTCAAAAAACCCACAAAACTCCAAATGTTCATCTCACTACTGTTAGCCACTGAATTTATACACACATTGAACAGGAAAATAAACCCAAACAGAGGGTACTACTATATTGTGCCTAAAAATGTGTGGGGTTTTTTTTAATTGAAAAGCCATCTTGTGTATAATGGTTTTCATCAATAACTAAAAACACATGGAGACAGAGAAAGAGAAACCAAGATGAATGGCTATATATATATATATATATTTTTTTTTTTTTAGAGAAGAACTTTGATAGCTCCTAGTGTTTATTGTCTTTAAAAACAAACACTAGTTTGTCATTTGTCTATTTTTTCTTGCCTTTGAATGAAAGATTTTTCAAGGAAGGAGCTGTGTATTTGTTTTATGTTTCTTTATTGTGTTGTTAAGTATAGTGTCATATCCCAGAGGGGAACTCAGATATACATTGACTGCAAAAGTCCCCTTTGTACCATCGATATTTGTTGACTGACAAAATGACTGAGTGAATATTCATGACCAAAGCATAAAAAAGCTATAGTTTACTTTCTTTATAATCTGTAGTTATTATTGGAAATAATCATTCATTAGGGTGAATATATATATATATGCCAAATGGGTGCTTTTCAACTTTGTATAGCTAAACTGTGTTTAGTAAAGTTGCTATCAGTGTTTGGTTTCTTTTTATGTTCTCTTTTCAAGCCATGTGTTAATTCTTATTTCCTCATTCCCATAATGCCAGATATTCACCTCTATACTGATCAAGGAGCTGCTGAAGGAAGACTGACTCCTGCAAAGCTCCCTTCAAGTGGGGTCTTTTTCTTTCTATCATGCAGTGTAAGTAAGCTTTTTGTTGTTTGCTTCCTTTTGTTATTTTGTTGTTTGCGTGCTTTTGTTATTTTGTAAGGGGTTGTCTGTAAGATAGGAGGTTAAGTCTTTACTTCTCACCTGGATTGCAACATGACCACATCCTCACCATAGTAGGCAGCCTCCAAGAAGGCCCTTAGTGATTTCTGCCTTCTGGTATTACTACACTGTTATATAGTCCTCTCCCACATTCTATAAGCAATGGTCTGTATGACCAACAGAATACAGCAGAAGTAGAGGTATGTCGCTTGCATAATTAGACTTTGAAAGACTTCAAGGACACAGAAACCACAGTCCAAATTGGAACCTCAACTAGTTTTAAAGGGAACTGTTTCTGAGGCTGTAAGGTAACAACCCGGATCCCAAGCCAAGAAGGTCTGGGTCTTTCATGGATCTAGAAAAAGTGAGAGAGAGAAAAACCTAGACATGTAAATAGAAATAAATAGGAATTTCACTAACTGATAGTGGGGAAAAATAGAGAGCACCTAATAAAAAGACATGTTGTTATATGATCTAACATGGTCACACCTGAAAAACATGCTAAGTGAAAGAAGCCAGTCACAAAAGACAAGCTAATGTATGATTCCACTTATATGTAATGATTATAATTAGCAAATCTATAGAGACAGAAAGTAGATTGAGAGTTGCCTAGGACTGGAGGGTTGGGGGTGAAGCTGGGTGTGATGGCTTAGATCAGGATTTCTTTGGAAGTAATAAAAATGTTCTAAGACTGATTGTGGTGATGGTTGCAAAACTCTGTAAATATACTAAAGCCATTGAATTACATACTTTGAATGGGTGAATTGTACGGTTTATGAATTATATCACAATAAGGCTGTTTAGGAAAAGACTGTGGCTTCTATCTTGGGCTTTCTCTCTCTTCTATTGCTTGTTCTGGAGGAAGTCAGCTGCTGTGTCTCAAGGACACTCAGACAACCTAACTATGGAAAGACTTAGGTGGGAAGGAACTGAGGTTTTCAGCTACCAGTCAGTGACGATCTGAAGCCTGCTAAATAAAATAACCTTGTCAATGATCTTTGCTAATCCTGTACAGGTGGAAAGTGTTGTCTAATGGTTTTAATTTTTACTTTCCTATTAAGAGTGATACTAGGTATATTTAATATGTTTAAAGGCATTAAGCCCTGGCTGGTGTAGCTCAGTAGATTGAGCGCCGGCCTGCAAACCACACAATTGCGGTTCGATTCCCAGTCAGGACATGTGCCTGGGTTGCAGGCTGGTTCCCTGCAGGCCAGTTCCCAGCAGGGGACGCACAAAAGGCAACCATACATTGATGTTTCTCTCCCTCTCTCCTTCCCCTCTTCCCCTCTAAAGATAAATAAATAAAATCTTAAAAAAATAAATAAAGGCATTGGTAGGAGAATAAGAAATAAAAACATGAATGCCATCTTCAGTGACATGAGGAAACATCTTTAAACTCAAAGCATCAAATATGAAAGTTAAAAGTGGATGAAGAAATGACAAATGACTTAAGTTAGAGAAAGGTAAAAACCTAGGTACTGCAGAGGAGGAGAACACCAGCAATAAGAACACAGACTTGTCCCGTGGAACCTCAGAAAGCACAGGAATTAGAGTGGTAAAAAAATATGTGCAGGGAGGACTTCTGGCCAAGATGGAGGCATAGGTGGAAACACTGTACCTCCTCACACAACCAAGTTTTAGTTGTTGTAGTAACAACTAAAGACAACTAAAACTAAAACTTAGTAACAACTTTAGTAACCAACTAAAGACAACAAAGTTTTAGTAACAAAAACACAACCAAAACACAGAAAATTGAACTGTACAGAAGTCTGAAGACAACAACGAACCATTCAGCCAGACTGGTAAGAGGGGTAGAGTCAGTGGCTGGTGGAGAGGGGTTGCACAGGAAAAGGTGGCTGGCTGACCCAGGAGTGAAGGCGGCAGTTGGCAGATTCCAGGTGTGGGATGGCAACAGGTGGACCTAGTGAGGGTGCAAGGCAGCTGGCTGACCATGGTCACACATTCACATGCAGACAAAACAGGCAGAGAAGCGAGTAGTGAGACAGACCACACAAACCAGGGCCCCAGTGATGGGGATTAAAGCCTAAAAGCACCAACTGGAAAAACTTTTGGGAGTCGAGGTTCCAGGAGAGGCTCCCAGGCTCACAGAGAGTTTGTTGGAGAGACCCACAGGGTCCTGGAGGGTGCACAAGCCCACACACCTGGGAACCAGCACCAGAAGGACCCAATTTGCTTGCGGGAAGCAGCAGAGGGGACTGAAATCTGAGAGAGCAGAACAAATGCCACTGCCCTTCTCTGACCCCACCCCCACATACAGCATCACAACCCAGAGACTGGGTCGCTCTGCCCTGTTGAACACCTAAGGCTCTGCCCCTCATACATAACAGACACAAACAGACCAAAACATTATGGCTCAAGAAGAAGAACAGCTCAAAGTCCCAGAGCCAATACTTCTAAGCGACCAAGAGATAGCCAACCTATCAGATGCACAGTTCAAAACACTGGTGATCAGGATGCTCACAGAACTGGTTGATTTTAGTCACAAACTAGATGAACAAATGAAGACTAAACTAAGAGAAATGAAGGGAAATGCACAGGGGACCAATAGTGATGGGAAGGAAACTGGGACTCAAATCAATGGAGTGGATCAGAAGGAAGAAAAAAAATGACCGAGCAGAAAAGAATGATGAAACAAGAATTCGAAAAAAATGAGGAGAGGCTTAGGAACCTCCAGGACATCTTTAAACACTCCAACATCCAAATTATAGGGGTACCAGAAGGGGAAGAGGAACAGCCACAAGTGGAAAACTTATTTAAACAAATAATAAAGGAGAACTTTCCCAAGCTCGCAAAAGAAATAAACTTCCAGGAAGTTCAGGAAGCTCAGAGAGTTTCAAAGGTGGACCCAAGGAGGAACACACCAAGGCACATCATCATTACATTAGCCAAGATTAAAATGAAGGAGAGAATCCTACAAGCAGCAAGAGATAAGGGGACAGTCACCTACAAAGGAGTTCCCATCAGACTGTCCCCTGATTTCTCAAAAGAGACCTTACAGGCAAGAAGGGACTGAAAAGAAGTATTCCAAGTCATGAAATCCAAAGACCTACATCCAAGATTGCTCTACCCAGCAAAGCTCTCCTTTAGAATGGAAGGGCAGATAAAGTGCTTCTCAGATAAGGTCAAATTCAAGGAGTTCATCATCACCAAGACCTTATTATGTGAAATGTTAAAGGGACTTATGTAAGAAAAAGAAGATAAAAAAGATGAACAGTGAAAGGACAGCAAACTCACAGTTATTAAGGACCACACCTAAAACAAAAACAAACTAAGAGGACAGCTAGATCAGGAGCAGAACCATAGAAATGAAGATCACATGGAGGGTTAGCAACAGGGAAGTGTGAGGAGGAGAAGGGGGGAGAAGGTACAGAGAATAAATAGCATAAATGGTAGGTAGAAAATAGATAGGGGAGAGCAAGAATAGTATGGGAAATATAGAATCTAAAGAACTTGAAACAAGTGGTCATAAACTAAAGGGGGGAATGGTGGGGGAGGGGTGTGCAGGGTGGAGGGGAATGAAGGGGGGAATAGAACAACTGTAATGGCAAGATCAATAAAATGTTTTAAAAAATAAAAAGTCCTCCTGGCTGGTGTAGCTCAGTGGATTGAGCGCGGACCTGGGAACCAAGCAACCACAGTTCGATTCCCAGTCAGGGCACATGCCTGGGTTGCAGGCCAGTTCTCTCCCTCTCTCTTTCCTTTCCCCTCTAAAGATAAATAAATAAAATCTTTAAAAAAATAAAAAATAAAAAAAATAAAAAGTCTTGTGCATTTTGTTATTTTGTCAGCATTCTCATTTTTGCTGTCCCTCCATTCTTAACTTTTATCTTAGAAATAAATATTTTTATTTTTTCCTTTTAATTTCACATGAGTTTAAAAAATAGCAACATACTGGTTAAAATTGTGCTAAAATAAAAATCAATAAGCTTGAGCTGAGAGAATTCCATATGACAAAATGAAAGACATTAAAAACTTTTGACATCTTGTTTGGATGTTCAAGGGTTTTTTTCTTTTTTGTTTATTATTCTATTCTAGATTATCTAGTACACTATTTGATAATTAGAAAGGCAACATAGAGCTTTCTAGGTTCAAATCATGGCTAGCTCTGGGCTTTTGAATAAGAATCATAAATTTTCTGTGGCTCAGCAAAGTGAGAAATAATAATATTTACCTGTATATTTATATAAGGTTGGTACAAGGCATAAATGGTTTAATACATGGAAAACATTTAAAATAATGCCCGGAACATATTAGTACTCAATTTTGACTTTTGTTATTATTACTATATTCCCAGATTGTTCTTTGATGTTCTTTAAGTGCATGATGAACATAGACGAAGATAGATGGTTGAGGCCATATTTAAATTTCCTTGTATGTTATGTTCAGTACTATTATTTTTCTATCTTTTAAGTAGGGAGATTGAGTCATAGAGAAAGGAAGTGGTTTACTCAATTATATAAAACTGTTAAGGAACCATACACAAGACCCTATGCTGTTGAACTTTCTTTACAGATTGGTTTTTGATAGTATGTGATTATTGAAATACATTGAGCCCTGACTGGTGTAGCTCAGTGGATTGAGTGCGGGCCTGCGAACCACAAGATTGTGGTTTGATTCCCAGTCACGGCACATGCTTGGGTTGCAGGCCAGTTCCCAGCAAGGGACTCATGAGAGGCAACCATACATTGATATTTCTCTCCTCCCCTTCCTCTCTAAAAATAAATAAAATCTTTAAAAATAAATTAAAAAAAATAAAGTTTAGAAACCAACAAAAAAAACTAAAAAGAAAAAGAAAGAAATACATTGAAAACATGGGTTTCATAGCTAGTGGAGTGGTTTTAGATGTACCATTCATATGGCACTGTATTTCTGCCTCATTTCATTGGTTGTTGAAGTAGACAACAGTATCA